ACAATTAGGTGTTATTCACATATAAAGCCAAAATATGATATATCTAATATAAAGTAATGCAGTACTTAACAAGTGCATTTAAAATCCAATATGGGATAGTATGTATAATTATTTAATTATTTTCCACAATTTTAACTGTATATTTTGTATTTTCACTTAACTACGTATGAACAAGTGGTCTGYACATATAATACGCGGGYGAGTAGGTTATACCTCATCCTACTATGGCCTACAGATTATATATTATATTTTATTCATATAAAGGACTTCAATAAAATTGTGCACAAAGGTATTATAGGAACCTATCGAAATAAAAAGCATATTAATTGTATTTTTTTTTTAGAATGTAAATATGTTTTTATTTTGTCTTAAATATACACCAATAATAAATGTTATGATCTTTTAAAAATTATCATTGAACTTGAGAATTTTTGAAAATCAAAAAAAAAAACGTATAATATAATAATAATCATCACTAAAAATAAATAGGCACATCAATAACAAACATTTCTTATCTAACTATAGTAAAAAAATATCACGAAAATCATAATGAAGTTTAAAATAAAAACTATCCTTAAAAATATACGTATAAATATAAGCTTACAATATTATACATATACAAATATATATGTTTATTTTATTCATATAAATAATGTATGTACCTATATTATACATACATTATAAATATGTGTGTGTGTATGTGTGAAGTGTTGTGCATATTATGTTACAAATATGTTACTGATAAATATTTAATTTTATAATTTTAAGTAAGGTAAAGGTTAAACTAATATATAACATATTATACTAAGTTAATATTTTATGATGAATTAATTAGCTGTTCTATAATATGATAATATAATTAAATTATGAACTAAATGAAAAAAAAGAAACAAATCAACGTAATACGAAATAATAATTATTAAGTCCATTTTGAATAAAAAAAAAAATAACTGTAAAATTTTGTATATATCAGTAGGCTTAGATAGCTATATTTTAGCTAGGAATGCCTTAATTAAAAAAAAAAAAAGAATTATTAAATAATCGTGTGTGAGTCAAGATCAAATTAAAATGTCAATATAATTCTGATTGTCTGTTTTTATGTTGTTGCTTATATGTTTAAAATGAAAAATAATTATATATAATTCATAATAATATCCAAAGAGTTGACGTAGAAGCTTAATACAACATTTTCTCACATTTTTATTTTATGTTACAAAAAATATATTGTAATAATTATAAGTTAAATATTGGTAGTTAAAAATAACAATATTATTATGTATACAGGGAGTTTATATAATAATAATAATAATAATAATAAAAATTAAGACGTTATTAGAAATGCCTGTCCGTCATTAGAGATAGGTGACGAAAATAGTAATGTGTTATAAAATAATATTATATGTGTATTGCGGCAATAGCGAAAACGTAAAAGTTAAGTATATGTAAATGTGGAGAAAATAAAAATATAATCAATTATAAATCTTCTTGTTTGACATTTTAAATTGTATTTATTTATTTTATGATAAATTATCATGTGAACTATAATTGATTTTACAAATAATGAAGTTCGGTTAATATGTAACATTGAAAATATAGAGTGAAAAAATAATTATTTTGGCACAACTTGTTATTTTGTTAACTATATCCAAATGAGGACAAACATCACGTCTCACTGTACTCATGATAGACTTGCATTCGTAATATTAGATATAATAATAATAATAATAATAATAATAATAAAACATTAACAAAAAAAAAAAAACACAAATAAATAAAAAGAGGAACAAAAATAGAAACTTAAAACATTTTTAAATAAAATAAATCCTATTATGTATGTTAAAAAGGTTAACTAATTAAAAGTAACTATACAATTACATACTGGTAAAAATGTATATAATATGCAACTTAGTTTGGTGCTAAAAGTTTAAAATTTAAATTTCTACAGGATGGCTAAAAAGTCGCAAATTTTCAAATCGTATGACTTCCCGAGAAATGTATAATTTATTTTTATTTTTATTTTTACACAATATACCTATGTGTTATGACGTGTTATGAGAATTATAGAACAACCGACAATATTATTTATTATGAACTCCAATTGTTTGAAAATTCTAACACAGCTTCTATGGAAATCTTATAAAAATATCGTTTGTCGAATTTTTTTTATTAAAAGTTGTTAATGTCTGAAAAGATGTTGCGCCATCGCAATGAAAACGTTCAATAACAATATCGAGTAACTTATAGCGAATTCATAAGCCTATATTCAAACGTTGAGTTTAAGTATGTATTTGTAACAAATGTTTATGGAAATATATTTTATGTAGGTACCTATCTTTATATTTCGATGTTCAAGGGTTTCGATGAATTTCGGTGATGAGCCTGAATAAACATATAGATTGGTATTAGATATAATATTTTGTAATGATGCCAAATAAAATACTCTTACAATGAGTATAATGTACTTAAAATATTAGGATAATGATAATGACTTAAAATAGGTACTTAAAATATTTCGAGTGTTACTTGGATTATATTCGTATATGTTTAGTAAGACTACTTTACATAATATAATAGGCTATAAAAAATGATTAATATAAATATATTTATGTCAATATATTATAATATGCATGTTTCGTTTATGTGTGTGTGTGTGTAAGGGGGTGGGGTGTAGATTTTTATACATATTTATATTTTAAAACTAAATATACATTTATAAGTATATGTTATAAAGGTATAAGGTAAAGATAAGGTGAGGTAATGATAAGTCATGGTACTCGAGGTTCTCGAGAACAATTCAATAAATTATCATAGATTTTTTTTCAAACAAAATCAACAAACAATTTGAACCGTTTTTAGTTTTATATGGTAGGTAGGTAGCAAAAAACTAGAATTGTGTTTGTAATTGGGAAGCATTGAAATGTGTAACAGTGTTGTAGTTGGGGGGCGAACTAATGATAAATTAACTTTCCTAAATTCCTTAATTCCTACGTTTACGGATCGAGCTTAAAATAAATACACACGACTTTGGTAATTTTCAGGAGAGAAAAGTTTCTTTTCCAAATTTTTAAAGATAAATAATGGACACTTAGAAACATGCGTGGTCATCACACGTATAAAATAATAAATTATCATACAATAATATACATCGATTTCGGCGAATTTTTACTATCGTAAATTAATAATTATAGTGACATAGATAATATATTTAAATATATAATGGTTACATAATGACTTGACTAAAAATTTATACTTTTTGGTGAAAGAATAATATAATACCTATAGATTGGCACCTAGTTTTATATTATGTTGGATTGGTGTTTATCTTGTCGGAATATAAAAACGAAATGTTCCATTAGTTACGTCGCAATGTCTAATTGATTTTAACACTCTCAGGCTGCATTGAGAAGAATTTAATTTATTTTCAATACGAGGAAGCCACTGGAATACTCCAGTATTATATTATTATATAACAATAATAATAATAATAATAATGGAATTTTTTGCTGTTAAAACGGTACCATATAGTATGTATTGAAATAGTTCTAATTATTATTATATTATAGTTTAAAATGATCGTGAATCAAGTGGATTACCGTTCTGATATTTTTTCTTTTTTATTTAATACGCTATACATTTTTCCACATCATGTCTATATTATAATTACACATAGATGTGTAGTATTGTATTAATATTTTGATTTGTAAGGTGAAGCAACCATAATTAGTTATGTGTTAAGTTGGCAACAGAGGAGTAGTAGTGTTCATACAGATCCTCCTCTGCTGTCGGTTTAAACGGGGGAAAAAAAAAAGATGTGGCATAGGTAATATAGACTTTGGTTGATGTAAAAATATTGTATAGCTGTACAGTAAAAATGTGTTTTGAGTAATTTGTTTCATCATCAAATGATTGTTAATATTATTATTATTATTTCATACACATTATAAAATCTAATCGAACATTGCGTATCGTATAGTATAATAAGATAAGTCTGTTGTAGCAACAGTTGTAGTGTATAAGTAGTAGTAATAGCGTTAGTGGGGGTAGAGGTGGTATACCACTAGTGGTATATATTGGTTTAACGTGTATTATTATAATAGTAGAGTAGTGTAAGTTGTAGTTGTATTTGTATTTTTAGTTTGATTACGAGTAGTAAATCTAAGGGCGCACGTCTGAATAACGTTTTATCATAGAATTGGCCTTTACATTGTACTCGGTGCATCTATAATAAATATGATTAGCTATAATAGTATACCGGCTCCATAATAATAAATATCGCCAGGTAAATTATAACCTTCGGRTTMATAATATGAAATCCGAACCTATATAATATTGTAATTGTTATATAGGTATTTATGCGACCAAAACCACCCGAATAATAATAATATTATAGTTTTTACCGTATAGGGCATTCACCGATGTCAATCGTGTATTCGTGTGTATTTCAACGCTAGTCATTCGTTGGATTAAATTATTGGATAGATAATAATATATTAATATATATATGTTTATACTGAGGTTAAACATTTGAACACATATAATATTATTGTTATTATAACATTTCACACAATTAGTCATAACATGTTAAATCTTGTATTTTTTTATAACAATTTATTGAAAACGAATATATGTTATCATGTCAATTGTTTGATTAATAGGTATCTTATAAACATATATGCATGCATAGATAATATATATATTTATATATTATATATATACATACATAATATTTATTATTGTATAATATAGGAGAAGGATTATTTTAATTTTATAAATTATTTATATTTTGAAATTTGTTTACTAATCTAGCTCGATGTTAAACATTTTTATTATTATTAATACATAAATTAAGTGTACCTATAGAATTTCCCTTAACTTAATTTTAAGTACCTAATCTAAAAGTATTGTTAAATATATAATAATATAATATATAATAGCTACCTACAATCAAATAGCATAAAAAAAATCAAAAAAAAAATCATTGGTGCGTTAAAATATAATAACAAGATTAATATTAATATATTATATATTGGTAATATAATTAGTTATATTTTGAGTAAAATAATGACTTTAAATAATACGAAGGGGTTTACATATAGTGAGTAACCAACCTGATTGTATACAATTCAAATAGTTCAATAGTATTTTAACATTTTTCTAAGTAAAATAGTTTACTTTTGTTAACAAAATACAAAGTGCATCATCTCTAGTTAGATTAATAAATTATCATTGACATTAGTTTCCGACCTATTTTAAATATTGGATAAAGGAAACTTAAACAATCTAATTAAATTGTTCAATATTATTCAATTMGTATTCTACAATATTATTTATGAATTATATATGTAATGTATACACTATAAAAAATTTACTGTGTATTAAACTGATGACTTGAATCGAACGTTATTTTGTTAATAATTATTCGGCCACAACCATACATTCCTGTGAACAAAACAAAAATAACAAACATTAAATTTATAAAAGATATATTATAAAGCAATACTAGTTGATAGATACCTACCTAAAAAATTGATTACCTAGTTAATTTTTTATCAATAATTTTTATTTGTGTTATGGATATTTGACCTTAGTTGAAAATGATTATATTAAGTAACTACTGCAAGATTATGTAGTTTCTAAAATTTAAGAAAGACCATGTTTTTGTTGTTTTTTTAGAAACTCCAGAATGGTGTTAAACTGTTAAGTAAAACCAATTATTATTGTATTTTATTCGGTATTATAGAACATGAAAGAGGAAACATCAAACAAGATTTGTAACTACCTACTATAATTTGTATAATACAAAAAAATCTCACGTCTACCAAAATGGAACATCTATCCGTGTCTAAACATAATATTGTACCTTGATAAAAAAAATATATAATAATATTAAACTCGACCAAACGGAAGATAAATTTAGTCCGAGTTGTGTTATTTCCATTGTTATACTATATCACATGTTTAATTATGAAAATAATTTAATCTGAATAACACAATACTTATTAGAGTTACTATAGGTAGTTAGGTTGTTGTAGGTACCTATTTCACGTGTATTGATTTAAAAGCATAAAGTGATCGTTTAAATTAATTTAAATTAAATTTTAAGGAAAAATGCATTTGTCACCAACATCATTAACATTTAAGTGGTAATTTATTTTTGGAATACAGCATTTGTGTCTAAAGTTTATTATAATATGGGTATACTTGTTACTCACAATGGATGTATGTTGTACCACAGGTTGATTTCTGAATTGCAGTCGTTATGTTAATACCTCGGGATTCCCGGTGGTGCAGCAACTAGTATAAAATAAACAATAATAATATTAATATACATTGAATCATACAACTTACGGTAATCGTCAAGCCGATAGAATAATTTGTGTTGTAAATTGTAATATTAAACACTTTTTATTGTTTTAACAATATTTCATATAGATTACAATAATAAATTATGTAATTTTTATAAAATATAATCCCCACGCTCAAATATTAAAGTGTATTCTGTCTTTTGCCATATAAAATGATCAAATTCAGATAACGTGTAGGCGGCAAGTGATGCCCTGGGATAGCATACAATTATTTATATTAATTTTATAAATAAGTGTATGAAATATATTTTAGAAACAAAAAATATCTCTTAGTTCACGGGGAAAATTCTTAACTTTACATTTTTTTAAATGCAATAAGTATGAATTATAACCAAATATTCGGGATAAAAAATTATAATAAATTTAATTTTTAATTGAATTATACATTTAAGCGTGATAAGAAGATTATACATTATACAGGACAATATATATAGTTTATTATTTCTAAGAGAGGGAAGGTAGTTTCGTTCTTTAAAATAATTAAGAGTAGAAATACGAGATAATATTTCATTGTAAATAACTGAAGGGATGGCAACAAATAATAACCACGAGTGGCACACCGTCCACCATTGTAACCACATAATACGTATAGCTATATTTTACTAAGTTTATAGCAGAGTGATTCTTTAATTTGACAGTCAACACTATTGTTATCTTAAAAAGTGAAAATTTTTTTTTTTAATATTTATCTTACATAATACCTATTTCAGTCACAAAAACTACACAGTTTGAAACAAAATTTATTATGTTTTTACTACTTTTTGAATCATCATTAAGTTTCTTACTTTTTTAAAACATTTATTTTTAATATTATGTTCCAATGCACGGAATATATAATAAATATATTTAAAAAAATGTTATGACATAAAATAATATTTTTAAACAGCTTGTTGATTAATGACAAGTACCTTAGTATATTTAAATTTTAAAATATTAATTAATGTAGTTGAATAATAAAGTGCAGGTACACGCTATATTATGTTGGTCCTCTTCTGTGATGTTAGATATGTTTGATATGTTTGGAATTAGATTTTTAAACATTAAAACATTCAAAAAAAAATTTTTAGCAATATGCACTTATTGAAAATATCTTTTGAAAAAATTGAAAACTTAAAAATGCTATCACGATAAAACTAGTAAAATGTACGATTTTAGTATAGTTTATAAATCATAAGCTGTAAACAGGATCTATGTAAGAATACAGCGAAAACTCTAAATACCGGACACTCTCAGTTGCTAAAGTTGTGTCTGTTATTCGTAGATATCGGCTAGGTAATCAGAGGATTCAGATTGTAGAAACTTCGTAGTTTGTTCCCTGAAAAACGTTCGCTATTGAGAGGAGTCYGTTAGGGGATGTTCCACTGTATTATTATATGGTACCCAGTTTATAAAAACAATATAAAAGTTTATTGATATTATTATTTTCGATCTAGAATATTAAAACGCATCCGATATCGTAATAATCTTACGACTGGACAGTATAATATAATATCTTAAAAGTCAATCGGCTCTCCGGAACATCTGTTTCCCATTATTGTATAGGTACTTACAGCATCATCTGTCTTAGATATTTGCCGAGATTGAATTTTGTTGATTTAATCAAATTCTCTTATATACTGGCATACGTCACGAGAATAAAGTATTACCTACCTATCAAGAGTTTCGTAAATATTTAAGGAGACTTACAAGATACGGTTGGCACGAATGGCTGAAGCAATTGTTGGTAAGCTCCCGTGTTCTGTTGAAACACCGGCATTCCAGATTTGTCACCCGCAGCTCGTTTGTACTGCATCATTCCCGGAAATGCCTAGAAACCATTAATATTTGTCTTGTATAACAACGTAAAACACTGAATTKCTGCACTTTAAATAATTATGGAGTGTACTGAGTGTAGGCACTTGCAGTCAGACCGATTTTAATTCGTCCGAATACGCAGTGGGTATAATATTATGTATGCTAAATAATTTATAATTTATAATAATAATWAAATAAATGTAATAAAATAAAAATTATGAACTGACCAACTGACTGCTAAGTATTAACAATAATTGAAAAATAATGTCGTTCATATTATATTATTACAATTATTATTATAATCCAAAATATAATTTGGTTGACGTTTAAATAAATTAACTAAGTTAATATAAAATATTTATTTAATGCACAAAATTTCATTTTTATTTTTTTGTAAATTAGRCTATATAGTTCGTCATTATTCTGCTGATGGTGCATAATATTATTATAACGCTTTTGGGTTCATAAACGTGGGAACCCTTCGGCGAGCAAGATGGGACCCAACTCTAAAATATATACCTTCTTAACACCATCACTATCAATCAAAATTGAATAAATCTATTTATTAATTTCAACTCTAAATAAACATTTTTTATTTTTATTTAGACATGTATTTATAAAAATATTATAAAATATTACACAGTATACATATAAGAAATGTTTTGGAAAATCTAAAAATAAAAAATACTATTATCTAAGTAGAAAAAGTATTTTCAGATCATTTTTTTTAATTCTGGCTTCTTCTGAAGGAATCGTTTTATAAAAACACTATTAAATTTTATTTTAAATGCTTAAAAACTTTTATTTATTAAGCTTATTATTTAAATTCTTTTAGAAAGTGTATACTTTTTATTTTCAGTTTATACATTTTAGGCCAGTTGAAAAAGATTAAAATTGCATCAATCTACATATATATATAATATACAGATAACTTTAAAATGTAATTTTTCTATTTTAAAATAACTTAACATAAATTTAAAAAAAACAATTATTTATTCTTGATTCAAAATGATTAACTAAGAAACAATAAAATACCAACAGCACTGATGTACTGTTATTTATACATTTTTATAGATATTGTAGATTTATATTGATCATTGATCCACTTTATTAACTGCAGTTAACGATTATTATCGAACATTTTTCTGAATGTAGGTATGATTCTTAGTTATAATAAATTATACATAATATTTATAGTTTAAACCATTATGTAACTTAAATTACCTACATAATATATAAACAATTGTTGTTAAGACTTTAAATCAGTGTGGAATAATGACGCACMACACGTCCACACACCTCTAGTATACAAAGATAGTCATAAGTGTTTAAATTATATTATCTTGTGGGGATGAAATTTGTATTGTGAACTGCCACAGTGCAGTCTACATTTTACGCAAAACAAATATAATCATTATATTATAATATTATATAAGTTCTATTATAAAATATCATATGAGTATTATGTAATTAGRTACTTAAACAAAACGATAAAATATAATATTTAAAACTAATAGCATGCGTATTTTATTTTTTTTTATTTTGTAATGCATAGTTTAGTTAACAGCTCAAACCACGAAATAATAAAAAAATATCCAAATAACTACAGTGTGTACAAACTATAATTGTTGTATTCAATTCGATACATCTATATAACATTATATCGAAGACACGACGACTTGCAGTGCTTAAGTTGTAAAAAAAAATTTGTTTAAATTACTTTTTGTACCTTTAGGTAGATACTGATATAATTTGTTTTCCAAAAGATTTATCGACTTGTGTGTCATTAAGATAAATTAGAAGGGTGCGTTGAAATGTTTTTTTTTTTTTTAAGAAGGAGTATTATAGTTCGCTACTTTTCAAATTAAAGCAATGGAGATAACTTTAAACAAGGGGTGCAATAAACGCGTAAATAATTGCAACTTTTTTTGGGCAGGGTGTATTGCGTTGTTTTGCATCTGTTGAAATGTTTTATTATTTTTTTTTATTTTTTATTTTTTGATAACTTTAGATCCATATTCAATAATAAGTATTATGTTCAAAGTTTTTACATTGAGTATTATAAAACTATAAAAAATAACCATTGGTATGAGAATGGTAGCTTGAACGTCATATGTATATTKTGCTGTTTTATTGTGGCTTATTAAAAACAACGAAACTCCGCGAATGAAGCGAATGTAAGAAAGCTTTGAAACGGATAGATTTTACTTAAGTTCGATTTGAACTTGATAATATTTTGAAAAATTGTTTACATAAAAAAATTATGGATTTGWKGTCATGAGAAGTGCATGTAAACAGGCTAAAATAATAAATACTCGTAGAAGCTTTTCTTATGTAATAGTAATTATAATAATTATGGTGATACTTTATTTTCGAAGTATTTAAATTTAATAGTATTATAATGGACAAACATAAAATACGACACACTGTGCATGGTGTGCATTTCAGTTTGAGAGTACCTACTTACTACCCACCTTAGCTCACTGTTAAGTTGTGCGCGTATAAATCCGACCGAGACGCAGGTCAACTTTTCTGCGGTGGATTGGGTACCTACATATATTAGCTTGTGTATGTTTCGGTGTAAGCGTTGTAACTTCGTTTAGGTTTATTAACGGGAAAAAATTTTCAAAAAAAATATGTAAATGACACAGTTAGCGAGAAGGAAAATATTTTTTAAACACATTGCAAAAACCGGACAGATAGCGCCACGGATTTATTCCTATTTCATCGCTCAATTTTCGGGGTATTGAAAATACTAAATTTGAATTTTACTTAAAACTACTTAAAACCTGTTCCACCACGCGGGTGTATTTTATAAATTRATATAACTACTTGTTAGTTGTTTGAATGACAAGTGAAATCAATTTARTCTAATAAAATACAAATAGATATATTATACAATAATATGTATTTAGTTACATAATATATGAGATCGAATCTTGAGGGCTGTATAAATGTATGGCTACGTGGTTAGTTTGAAATAATTGCGATTATTTAGTTGTCTATGTAAAAAAAAACCCCTGATGAAGCTGAAACAACTGAGGTAGCCTTGAGAGTAAAAATAGAAAAATGAATAATATGTTAGGTATTATATAATTTACAAGGGGATTTACCAAGCGTCTCTCCACTTTTATTCTTTAATAATGTATTTATTCAAATTATTTTTGGTATTTTTAGGTATAGGCACTTAAAGGCCATGCATTCAAATACTTATGTTTTTGTGAGTGTACGATTATTGGTGAATCRCCACGAATATCATACTTCCATACGAAAATTGTGCTAAAGATCCATAAATAATGATGCCTACAGTTTATTAAGTTTATATTTATACTAATATAGGTTTGAAAATAAATGATCGGTTTAGTATTACGTATATCAAACTTTTATATAAAAAATTAAAAACAAACTATGACACAAACGAATTAATATTTCTTAAACAGTCCGGTAAACAAATTACCGAAGTCCGTATTAAGTTAGGATAGTTCTCTACGAAAATGAAATGTCTCATTTGATTACTGCAATAATCAAGWCTGTTTTGAAATGTATTCCATGCATTCATCATCTGAGCACCGTGTTCTATAAATTTTAACGGTTTTCGGGGTCAAACGTGGAAAATTACGTTTACCGAAATTTCAAAAATATGAGTCTCTCCTTCATTGGAAACGTCCGGCGGCGAAAGGGTTAATTTATTAAGGTCTAAAATAGTTGTTGTTACTGTGGTTTTTGCACCACATTATTAACACATAAATCACCCCCTCCAACSTCCCCGAGTTAGTAAGCTTCAAGCAGATAAGCAAATGGTAGCAATTAACAAAATAAATAAGGCACGTTAAGCAGCATTTTCATAGTATCGATTTCCAAAAATGATTATTATGTGATGATATGAAAGCAAACCGAATACATGAATTAKCCCCGCATAAATAATAATATAATATTTTATAGACAATGATAAAAATCGTCACAAATTTTTATAGAGCTATTATTATTAATGTGTGAACAATTAGGTACGTAAGAACCACAACAATATATATTAGGCACATAAATCATATTTGTATTTGCAATAKTTAGCTTGGACCTATTAATACTGCACGTAATGCCTCTCTATAATGCGTTATTCGATATCAAAAATATTATCTTTTGTATACAACACATTTTCAGAGCATTGGAACGTGAATATTTGAAATGCATCTTTTCGTAACAAAAAAATTGCACATTAACAATATCAACAGTATTTACAAGTTATTTACTTACAAAATTTTCGTAATAAAATGTTCCAACGGCTTTCATATCCATCTGAAACACATAACTTGTTGATAAACTATTTGTAAGCCTTAACACATTGAGCTGGGAAGTGGGAAGTGATTACAATATTCAATGGGAAAAAAATTATTATTATTATTTTACACTTTTATTTACAGTAATAATATTATTCCCTACATCATATTATGTAAGTAAAATATAGGTTATTTTACTTTCGATCAAATTATAATTAACATTGAAATCGCACRACACCGCTRAAGTGAGTTATATTATATTATACCTAWAAATTATAATGTCATACATTTGGACTTGGTTAGCTCAAAGTTGAAGTGACCGTCCAAAAAGTTCAAGTTATCTGAAGGTTCGAGTCATCTAATAAGAATATAACAATGATGGAGATAAATTCGAGTCAAAATAGTTCGAGGTTATTTTGTTTTCGAGTTRAAACAGTTCGACGAGTTAACTAAGTTCGGTTGTATAATAATATAGTATACCTATATCGTAAAGCAGATGATTATTTTTATGATCACCCAAAAATCTCATTTTCTCGATTTTTTTCTTTCTTTTTTTTATACGAGTTGAGGACATTTCAACATAACTTTTTTTTTAAACAGATATATTTTTCATTAAAAAAAATTTTATTTTGTATAATGGAGCAGTGAAAGAGAGGGTATTATAGAAAGGTTGGGCTTTACTAATTAATTACTGGATCGAAATAAGGTTTTTAGATATTAGTATTCTAAAAATAATATTGTTCTTAAGAATAGGAAAATTAATTTTATCATTTGAAAAAGTAAAAACACTAAAAAAAAAAATCATAAATATATCGTTAAAATTATGATTAAATGGTTTTCAAAGCGTTGTATTGGACTTAAATTATGTAAATAAAAACAAAAAAAAAACATACATTTATGGATAAAATGACTGAGCTTATAAAGTGATCAAAAATCACCTTTTATCACAAATCCAACATTTATAGTTCTTAAACTTAACCTGTTTATTAAACACRTATACCTAGTATATTATATAAACATTTAATAATAGTACCTAAAGGTACAAACCATATTTTTCATACGTTTAGTAGGTACCTCGGGAGAACCAATGTATGCCATCCATATAACTATATAGTCTATAATATTATGTGTATTGGCACATATTATACCTTACAATAAATTAGTACATAATAACAGTATTTATAGTAAAAATAATTCAGCATAAGTCTTTATTTTTTTTGATAAATCTTGTATGAAACGCTAGTTGTGCAAGCGTTTCAATTTTCGATACTATGTAGTCGATAATTTTTATCCTTTTATCCAGTTCTTCTGAATTTTGTCGATATCTTTTTCTCTCGAGTGATGAGCATCAAATTTATTTGTTGAACGGCGAACCACAATAATATTATATATTAATAATAAAGTCCCGTTGTGTACGAGTACGTATCATCGTGCTCTTTTCATTTCTTTTAAATTTAGAAATGGCTCGTTTTTATCAATTTTTTACAATAAAGTATTTCAATTGAAGTGGAAAAAGTTGCGTATCTGTGTGTTTGTTCGCTAAACTTTATTCACGATCATGCGCGTGTGCAGTTATGGGTTGTGCAGTTTTATCCTTTACGTTTTTCAAATAGCTACGAAACACGAAAACTCGTAAATTGTTCGATCGAATGTATTAATGCTATAAATCAAAAGTAGATGTGCTTCGCAAAATACACTTAGCTAATCAACATTTATGAGTAATACATTTGAATATTAAAATTGCTATCTCTAGAATGTGGGCTGCAGTTAATTTATGGCCTTTGGACATGGACGGAAATTCTGTGTAAAGCTTAACTGCTTAAGAAAACTTTTGGACTATACCCGTCGTAATATACTAATAATTCCGTATAGATATTATGTAACGTATGGATATTATTATTRTATATCGTTAAAATAATTTTCGTACCAGCCGTGTTCCATTATATTGCAGGCGACGATTATTATAATTACAAATTTCTGAGAATAATAAATTATTATTAATTATTATATAGTATACTGTATACAAACGAAATAATTATTTAGTTAACAAATACAAAACAAAATCGATGGTTCCAGCCTTGTTGTGCTGCGTAGATTCATTATTAGTATTGATTGCTGCTGTGTTCTGTTCTTGTATATATATATATATGTATGTCATCATATTATATTAAATTATATTATTATTTGAAATGGCTGTAGGCGCGTATCTGATGAAATAGTTAAATATAATTTATATATTATTATAATTATCATTATTTGTATATCTGAACATCGTGGGTTGGTGTATTGAACGGTCCGTCATTTCCCTGAACATCATTTAAAATTGTTGGAATAAAATTAATTTTCATTCAGGATACGCATGTAACATGATGTATTATTATATAATCGCCATATATACACAAGTTACATAGAAATGGAAACCTGCAGCAGATCGTACATTTACATGTTGACAAAATAATATACATTTTATTTACTATGCATATTATTTGTATTGAAATTCGTATATTTACTCGAAACCCAAACACGGGGGAACATGCGATTATCGCATGATGCGAACACGTACCTACCTAAACCGATCGAGCAACGAATTATTGCCACACAATGATTGTACTATACGCAATGTATGCGTTCTAGGTAAGAAATACTGGATGGAAAATATAATAAACTGCACATTGCCACATTGGGTTCWCTCTATAGTATAAGGCGACCAAACAATCAATGTTTTAAAAACACGGTTTTAAATTAAAATCTGGTACCTTGTTATAGGTATAAAACGGAATTCGCAACAAAATTGAACCTTAAAATTTCAGAGTTATGGTCAATAATATTGTTTATCTTGCACTTCGCTGCAACGATAAAGAAAGTTATTCCCTTGGGCTCGATGTTCAGGAGTTGTTCGTTACAGATGTGACGGAATATTTAACCATTAGATAATTATTAATAGTCAAATAAGGAACAAGCGATATTTTTGTATATTATATAAAAAAAATAATCATGTATTATTATAACAGTTATCCGTAATTGTTGTGTTGTGCTAATCTAGATAGGTAGGTATATTTTTATCTTTATCTTATCCAGATGAATGGGAAATATAGGTATTATGTCTTTTGGCTGTTATTGTCTAAGATAATTAATTAGAACATTCGGACAAAATTTGATTTTTAAATKTTTATATTTTAATTAATGACGATTAGGTAGGTGTTTTATTTTTTCCGATTACAATATAGCAAATTTATATTTTTACATATTAGGTACAAATATCACAAATTATTATTTTCATTATCACTTATATAATATATTAGTGTTATAATTTATTTATATTTCATTAACACACATGTATAATATATGTATATGTYATTCTTAGGTTATTAAATTTATCAAGTTCATATTTTAAACGTTCTTATATTAATACACTAATAAATAAGCGTAATAATTGGTTTTAGCCGCGGTGGGTTCACTCAATGTGTCAGCGTCGTATCACTGACCGTAACATACCTAGTCACGTAGAATATCCGCTTTCCGCTCTTAAAATTTRAATCGATTACAAACCAAAATTATTATTAATTAATAATCAATAAAGTATAATTATAAGTATTCCCTAGTATAAAATTAAATACTAATTTTAGCATTTCAATAAAATCTTCATAATCAATATATATTATACGAAACATTTTAATAATGTATCAAATTAAATATACCTATAAAATGTATAAGYTATAAACGGTATTAATCACGAGTTACACTCGCAAGTCGCAGTGCAAATTTCAAATCTTTGATAGGTACGATGCGCTTGTTGATAGCAATTTTTTCTCTTCAACAATAAATTCATCTCTTATTGCTATGATCGCCGATAGGTCGTCACGAGACTTATGTAGATATAGGTATATYATTAACTATTATATTTTTAAACATTCAGACTGCGGTGGTATATTATAGAGGTTGGTTTGAATAATTTGTCGACTGCAGTAATCGAATGGAATAAGTAATGATAACAACACGAACCCGATAATATTATATTTATATATCATTAATGGTTATATTTTATCCTCACACGTTGTACAGTCTCTTTAAAGACACTCTCACGCTACTACTGCAGTGTGAGCATACGCCACCGCGTGTAYGAACAATCACTTTGGTTTAAGCTCGCATTTGATTTACGCAAGTCCGTTCGTATACTGCAATACATAATATACGACGTATGTCGTCGTCGTTTTTGTCGTTCTTTGTTCAGGATGGGATCYGATGGCGTTTTAATTAAACCCGGGTTAATTGGTCATCTCATACATTATATGTATATTGGATATGTGCGAGCGCGTGTGTGTGTATATATGTGTATATTCTGCGACCCTCGACGTTGACGGTCCTTCCGCATAATGCATAATGTATGGTCGTCGGTATTTTTAATTTGCTATTAATATTCTTAACCTAAACGGTTAATGTGACGCCGTGGCACGTGTTATAATAAATGATGAAAGGAAGTTCTCCAAGTGCGTGTATGCATATTTTTTTTTAACGGTATTTTACTCTTGTCGCGATAATTCTTGAGGTGGAACCACACTGAGCGAACATTATTTTTTATTATGTTCGTATTGCGTAATACGCATATTGCACTGCTGAAATTAAAAGACCTTCACGGTCGAGGGTTGATTTTTAACTCGAACGTCGAGCACACATTATCTTATTGTTATAACATACAATCGCTTTGAAAATATTATTTTCTGTGCTTTTTTCAATATGGTATTATGGGCGCCGTGTGCAGTCACTCTGTACCGTATTACAGCGGGTATATAGGCGCACGAAGAAAAATATTATTATTAATTAACGATAGGACGGCAACAATATATATTGCAGCTGCTGTTCGGCAGCTCAGATATACGAAGGTGTGAACTCACACGATTAAMAAGTCRACAGAATATWGTATACAGTATACACAATACAATATTATATTTTACAATACTTATAATATTATGTAATTATGTGAAACAAGTCATGGCATCGACGGCACTGACAATCAGTTTCAAACGATTTTTTATTTGTATACTGTCTTAATAAGCCACCATTAATTTTGATACATTATTCGTAGATTAAATTTACAAACCTACACGACTCACTCGTGTGCACTAAATCTCGTCCTTGTCTTTAAATTGTTCCTTATAACCACGCCGGCTGTTTCTTAATGAGATATAATATACCTATTCTTATTTCAATTTTAAAACATCTTCTCTCCAACTATTATTAATGCAAGCCAATAAACACGTCTTAATAATAGCGTTTCACATCTCGGTTTCCAAATTAACGATTTTTCGTCTTGTGCATTGACACTCGCCACCAATGATTTGTCATATTATTTTCAGTATTGGTTCTGCTTGTTTATATAGGTATTACATCGTTTAACGGATCAATATATTTCCAGTTACTCGGTTATATATGTAGGTATAGCTTATTGAACATAGAATTAATATTGTGTATAGGCGTGTACGGTGAACGGATATATATTATATATTTATATAACATAGGTATGTATTGTATATTACACAGGTACAAGCTGAGGCCGAAAATGTATAACGCGTGACAGGATTTGACAATGTTACTTTAACCTAGCACGACCATAAAATCATGATCACTGAATAATGGATAACTGTGGTTAAATAATAATATGAAATAAAAATATGGAAAGTTTGTTCAAAACGTTAACACCCAATCAATCGATAGGTATATATATATATAAATAAAAATTAAAGATTGCCATGTATATCGAGTATCTGAATAGGTGTATGTTTTTATTGTTCGAGTACAAAAAACTGGAATTAATACGACCGTCCTCCCGAAGGYGGAGGAATCATATTTTATTGGAATGCAGAAAGTCGACAATATTRTATATTTATATTGTGTACCTAAATGTGTATTTGTTTTACCGATAAATTATGGTACGCGAAWWATGTGTTACTATATCTTAATAATAACAAGCYAAGGGGGATCTGAAATCGAATTCAAATTAACACAACACCCATTTCGAAACCAACTATGCTATAAGCTGTGCAACTTCCCCGCGGTGTTTATAGATGAGCTTTAACGCTAACGTCTGATTGTTAATAGGATAAAACTAATTAAAGTCGTTTTTATAAATCTTTTTCGTGACCACAAAATCCATGGTTGAAGTAGCAGACCAAATGGAAAAGAATCGTGTGTGGAGGATACTTTAAAAATAACCCTCCCTCAACACACACACACACACACACACGCACAGATCCAGGTATCAGCGCTCAGAGGTTTGTCGATTAATTACTATTAGTTGTTGGTACTCGGGTAATGGTATGGTGGGAATAGGATTTCTGGTCGGCATAAGAGCACGGTGATAACAATACAAATATCTATGTGTTGCTCGTCGTTGGCCCGGGCAACAGATTCAGCCTCGGCCGCGCGACCCTCCCTATCTGCTGCACTGCAATTCAAACGTTACGGGTCGGAAAAAGTTACTAATGCCAAAATAAATTGGTGGGTTATATATCACGTGTATCGAGTCAGCATACCCAGGGTCACGTAAATAAGCCGGACCGGAGTTCATGCCGACGGAGGGTGTTGCTATATCCGTGGTGTGTCAGTGTAGGTAGACATGACCTATTTCGTAATATATAAAACGTAAGTTGCTGCGTAATTATATTATTGTCGTTGGCTTCAGTTTACAAATTATTCCGTTTCGCGGCATTATACCATTATAATATTATAACAATTTATATTATGTATACTCCGAGGAATTTCAAAAAAGTTAACTTTATAGTATTACGTGAAACGTTTAGTATAGGTGTATAGTAGCGTATTACTGCGTGTTGTGATTAATATTTTTATTTTTTTTTTGTTTAGTTCGTTATCGATTAGCTTTATGTGATAAAAAAAAAAAACAAGTTTACAGTAGTTGTCGGTTATTATTGCAATCTATTGTATAATACGATTGGGCGTTATATGTTAAAAAACATTTTTACGAGCTCAATCGAATATAACTGATGAAGGTGTGTTGTAAAAATTATGTTTTTTTGTGACGACATGTAGATACGTAATATAGCGATTGAATATTGATTTTTTTTTGTTTCTCCTATACATTATAAGATTACTCATTTAATTGTATGTATAATGTAAAATGATGATGGCTACGAACAGCAATTGAATTTATTTCTAAATTATTGCCGAGCCAGTTTAAGATAATTTTTAGTTACTATGTTATTTATGATTTACAAATTTATCAAAAGTCGTTTAATCATATTTAGGAATTATAACAATTCTTGACAAATATATAAATAAAAAAAAATATATATATATATATATAGAAAGAGAGAGAGAGAGAGAGACAGACAGAGAGAAAGAGAAAAAGAGAGATTTATAGTTAGAAATGGGGAAATATATCTCAGAATCACGAGTAAATTAAATTTTGGCGAGAAAGCAATCAACTGTAATTGCATATTAATGAGTAAACTATCTACGAGTAATTTTATGATCCTATATCGATTTACCTTGAAATACAGTGTGATTTATTTCGACTACAACTTTTCTCTACTCATTTTACAGTGATTTCAACTTTTAATTAATATTAATATTATTAATATTATTCGAAMAAATGTACAGAATAGTCCGAATAGTATGTAGGTAATAGGAAAATTATGTTGACTATCAATCTCTCTACTATAAAATTAAAATAAAACGATAACCTTACGAACGCTTTCCGGGATAAGATTTACTTAAAAAATAATCATGCAGTATTATACGAAAGTACCTACTACAAAACGTAATATTTTAATATTAAAYGAATRATAAATTATTGAATTTTAGATTTAGATTTAGATTTTAGACTAATCATTTTGACTCGATTGGTGCTAATAATACGTATACAACAGGATCGAATTATCGAGGTGCACTTAAGACGTTGGTGCAATTATAATTATGGTATTAGGTTATATGGCATGGGTCACAGAGCTAAGTTGATATTGTATAAAATCTATCTGTCCGCGATGCCTTTCTCAGATCCTCGTGATACGCATGTTAAAGTAAAAAGTAATTTTATAATAGCCACACGACAGTCGCAGTAACAATAGTATAGGTAGGTATAGTTATAATAATATTATTATGTATATATTAGTATGACAAAGAAATAAAAGGTGTGCGCTAAATTTAAAAACTTTTGTCGCATTAAAGGTAATTCGATTTTTATCAGATAAGCAATAGAAACATAACTTTGCCAACGGCATCGTACAAATCTACGAGGATGTTAAAAGTTCAAAAATAATAATAATAATAATAATAATAATAATAATAATAATCAAATAAACAAAATGTCCATCGGTTGATGCGAGTTTGTTTAGCCATACAAAAGTTATAAATGTTCATAATCAACAATCACTCGGCACTATGAAATCTATATAGTGTTATTAATTTTCATTAGTATTATTAGGTAAGTACTTATGTGTACCTACGTTCCTACTATAGAAGTAGTATATAAGTATTAGAAGTACGCATATAATAATATTATATATATATATATGTATACAAGATGTAATAACAGATAGAACTGACTTTTGAAATAACTTTTGTTCAAATAAAGTTTTTTGTTCTTTAAATGACCCTTGCGCTACATGTATAATGCATTTTTTTTATGTTTATTTAATACTAAATTTGCGAATCCGATTATAAAAATAATTTTGATGGTAAAAACTTACTTGATCTAAGTCAAGTAATTTATTTTTTAGAATTTTTTTAAAATTCAATGTTTTTTTGGATAAATTAATGTTGAACTCACCTAATAACTTTTTTAAAAATATGATTTTTGAGAATTTGCTGACGTGAGTATATTTCTGAAATTATTTATTTATCATGTAATATTAACAATTTTCGTCATACGTTGAATTAGCATATTTTTTTTTGTCAGGTATTTCTGTATTTCTGTTACACCCTTTATATATATATATATATATATATATGAGACTTTTATGTAGAGGTATATATAAATATGACTGGTGATAATAACGATATAATATAGTAATAATAATATATAGTCTAATAAATGTATAAAAAATAACAAAATCAACGCCACGTATTAAGAGTAATACGTTTGTATTAGCTAGTAAAAAAAATGTAAGAAAGGAAAAAAAATATTTTGCTAAAAGATCATGTATAATAATGATAATATTATAGTTTGATCTCGCGGTCATGCTTGCATTTTTTTTTTTTTTTTTTTTTTTTGATAATTATTAGTATACAAAAGTAGGTATAGTATAATATACCTAAATAATTAATAAAGATGATACTATAATARGACTAGGTATGGTGAAAAAGGGTATTGCTTTTTATATTTTACTAACGTCTAGACGGTCGTTCCTAGGCATTTTCTGTTGTGTAACCATTGTCTGCTGCACGGCCATGGCCAGCGGATTGTTCGGGTCTGACGTGATTATCGTGGTCGGTCCAATCAACGGGCCGGCGGCGCTAAAGTACGGCGTGTAAGTGTTTCCGACCTGGGTACTCGCGCCAGGGATTCCGGTCAAATATGCTGTTGGCGTTGCCTACGAATGACAAAAACATAAACATATCAATATAGGTATTTTAATATTGTTATTGTATATAGGTACGTAGTAAAATATTAAAATTAATAATTATCGTATATGGTATAGGTATAGAGGTATAGGTATATACATTAATAGAATAAAATTAATATTATAACGATTATAGCTACGTTTAAAATATAAAATAATATTATATTTACGTAGGTACAATAAATTGTATTATATCATTATTAGCCGCAGGGGTATATTGTGTAGGTACATACAGTGTATACACATAATATACTCTGATTCCCCCACCAATCGGATTCAAATAATTCGACCTCTCACCAAATCAGATTCTTATCAACGACGGTCTATACTGAAAAGTATTCAGAATTTTTTATCGATACGAATTTGTTAAGTCTTTTTAAAGCAAATAAWAAGCCTTATTAAATATTTTGAATATAAAATCCTGTTAGATAAATATTTGACGGTGAGAAATTGTATCGACACATTGTATAAGTGAGTTACGATTCTTATAGTCTCTATCATGTTATATGGCTTCATCATTTCGATTTGGTGGTAAATCAAATCCGACCACAAATTAAAATCCGTTTATAGATCCTACCTGCCTTATATTTCTCAAAAGCATTCATAATTGATAAAAAATACTGTTTTTTTTATTCCACGTGAAGTTATGTATTACTCATAATACCGGAGAAACGTTTTTGTTTGCACGGACATAAGGGAGTATATAGCTTAAAATCAGGGGTCAGTAACCCGCGGCCCTCATTGTAATTATATGTGGCTCGCTAGTAAAATGTATAGATTGTGTAAAAAAAATCGCGAATTAAAAAAGTATGGACTAGAAACTCCGATTTAAAATGCTGTTTGTTTGTAGATACCTTTTTAAATAATTTAACCCAAGAGTTATAGGGACTTGAAAAAAAAACTTAAATTTGACATGAATATACATTTTTGTTTGGAATAAAATAATTTATTATTGAATTGTGGTCCGTGAAAAATGTTATATTAATTTTTAGGCCCTTGACGCATCAAAAAGGTTACCGACCTCTAGCTTAATCGTCTTATCAAAAACTCACCAAGCTTTTCGGGGATATAGATACTATACAGGGTGATTCTTTTATCAAACAACACTCATTATTTCAAAAACGAATGACTTTTTTCAAAATTTTAGAACCATCTTGTTCTAGAACTATATATTTTTTAAATATTTTCACCYTTATATTTATCAGGTTAATCATTATCAACTTTTGATTTTCAAATGAGAACCTATACTTAAAATTTCATAAACTAAAAAGGCTATTTTTTCAATGAATTTTCACGTTTAAATTAGTAATTGATTAAAGATATAGCCTCCCAAAGTTGGGAGTTTTTGGGTGGTGTTTGTGTGTTATAGGTGTATGTTAGGTGATACCATATGAATGTTGTTTGATAAAAGAATCACCCTGTATACTGCAGGGTGTTCCGCGAGGCTTTACCCATGGCGATATCTCACGAAATAATAGAGGTATCGAAATTATGGTTTTGTTATAAGACTCACAGAGATAAGAACTTTAGAACTACAATTATTTTTCTTATTTTAATTTATTTTAATGTTTTGGTAAAAAATTTTTAAAATATATTTGACTATTTCCAAAAATATTAAAGATAACCATTTTGTAGAGTTTATTTTTCTGAAAATATTGATGTTTCAACATTTTATTTTTATTAATTTACTAATTTTTAATATTTTTCCTAGTTATAAAGAAATAAAATATGATTATAACTATAGGCATACTGAATTCGTTCGGCCGGCATTACGCGCGACACGGCGTTTCACATATGTTTAACAACTATAACACTACGGTATTAAATAACTCGCAATTTTTCTCGAAACTAAAAAAAAACTTAAAAATCAGGAAATTAACGAAAATAAAATTTTGAAACGTCAATATTTTCCGAAAAATAAACTCTACAAAATGGCTATAATGGTGATTTTTTTTGGAAATAATTAAATATATTTTTTTAAATTTTTTACCAAAAAATTAAAATAAGAAATAATTGTAGTTCTTATCTCTGCGAGGTGAGTCTTATTACAAAACCAGAATTTTGATATCTCCGTTATTTCGCGAGATATCGCAATGGGTAAATCATCGCGGGAAACCCAATATAGGGTGATAATTATATGATTTGCATCCGTGGGGGAGGGGGGTTGAATCACCTCAGATGCAGAAACCCGCGCGACAAGGACGAAAATAACTTAATATAATAATATACCCATGGTAGGCATGGTACCTACAACATAGCTAGTTTATAACATATACCTATATACCGAGTCTCGGCGGTAACTTGATTTAAAGGATCGAAAATACAAACTATATTGGCTATTTTTTTCTGCCTGCGAACAATGCCGCTCGGCGTATAGTAGGAATGAGTTTCACTTTGGAAAAAACTTTTCGAATAGTTACCGGTTAGGGAACACACACACACACACCCATCTACACCCCACCCACAACACCCAAATGCGTGCGAATATTACATTATACGATCGTGTTTGTTATCGGCCATCGTTCGTTGTGCTGCGGTAAAAAATCGATTCGGGTGCGTTTTTCGCGTTTTTTTTTTTATATTATATACATTTTTTTTTATGGCCTCACAATGCCGAATGTGTCGTGATACTATAAAATATTATATCGTAAATCGTAACAATTTAATCGTATAATAATAATAACAACAATACATTACTCCGTCGACGGCGGCGCCAGAACTATATTGTAGCCTATAGTTGTCGTGGCGGATTTATTATTTTCGCGAAGCATCCACCGGCAACGTTTTTATATTCTATTATTATTATTTAAATCCAATATCCATTTAGCATTTAGCATCCTGTGGGTCACGCTGCAATATAACGGCGGTTGACAGTTACATCAAATCATATTCATAATATTTTATTAGTTCAATCTATATATCTCGCCGAAACTGCGTAATAATTTATTAAAGCCACACCCGAAGTTATTGAAGTTTTTATTTCTTTTGAACTTTGAAAAATAAACACGTTTTTCACAATACGATGTAATGATATTTGGAAACTAATGTTTTTAGTAGTTATGGTATTATAACCTAACTAAACCGACATTTATTTTTATTTATTTATACAATCATGCAATATATTTTATCAAGGTAGACCCGACGGGCGCCGCCACTGGCGCCACTGCGACAACGGAGCTCTATAAAAATATAATAACAACGCGACGGTATGCCGACTTTAATAATGAAATTGATGTGAGTGTGCGTGCGTATATACCTCTGCGCGCGCGTGTGTGTGTGTATACTGTAGTGTACTGTGCACACATTCCAAGCACCTAAAACCGAAAGTAATTAATACCAACTCGGCTGAAATCGAGCGCAGAAAACGCATTGCTTAAAAGGTTGCGTGACGCTCGGGCGTGGACGTATAAATCATCGACTATTCTCTCTGTATCTCTCTCTCTCTTTCTCTCTTTTTCGCGCACACTTTTGCCTCGCATTCCTTCTCCGGCGATTATACCAGCCGCATACGATTATTATTATTCGCGAGGACATTTTGTGCAATTATGCGAGGCACCGAAATCGCCGGATATACCGCCGTGACACGACGTAAAACTATAAACGACGAGAGTATTATTATTACGATGGCATTCGATTTGTCTGTCATTAGAAAAATTGAATATAGGAAATAGTATTGTATAATAATAATAATGATAATAGTCATTACTCATAATTCATAAGTCAAACCCTACAGGCTGTGTCTATCGTGCACACGCACGGACTGCTAAATTTGACAGGACACGTTGTGCGAAATATGATARCAATAATGTCGTGACGGATCCGTTTGAATATTAATAATTTTTTCTCTTCGAAATTTGGGCGTCAAACAGCATAAATCCCTATTTGCAGGTTTCACATCACCCTTTTATTATTATAAGCATATACGACACGAGTGAAAGATCTAAATACAAGCTTGCTATGGCCGCAATGATGGCCAMAAAGACCGGCCCTGCTTATATTACTAACATTAAATGTCGAAATAAATGGAATTTAAGTGTTGAGAGATCGATGCGCGTGCACTAATAAATTGTATAGCATTATGCATAGACGCATAGTTATTATATACTATAGTTGCAGACAATACTTTAAACTACCACCAGGTACTTCGTGAATCCTATATTTGAATTTACAGATCTGGTACAGGGCCTATCTCATATGATGGTCTTAACCACCATTTGTTATGCGGTCATAATAATGATACCACGTCTATGTGCACGYAATATTTGCATACATGTGACGAAAAATAATAAATCTACGWCACGAAYCKAGATAAACTATAGTTATCTATGGTTTATTATCATAGTCTATAATTCACTTATATCGTTTCGTATAATTGTATATACGGTCTGCAAGTTAGCTTATTATTGGCAACAAAAGCGTCTAAGGGGACGTTAGTTTTACTTCATCATCCACTTATAATAATTCGTACGGTTTTTTTTTTTACCACCTGTGAGAAAGTACTAGCGAGTGATCATATTATATATTCATTTTATTTTAAGTTTGTATTTAAGACAGAACAAATTAAGCGACTATCAGGAAAGTAACGCGATGACATCCGATAAGCCCACATTTAGTATTGATTGTTTAGTATTACGGTTGTATAAGTATCATAATAATATTTTTTTAATGACGATGACTATATTTCAATACYATTATTATTGTCGAGAAAATAAAGTTTATAGTGACATTACGATGCTCACGCGCTCAACTTTTAGATATCATCATCGTCATCGATGATACGTGTCCAGAAAGCAATACCCATTGTTACACGAGTAGGTATAATGTATTTGGTAATTTTACTATTATACATATTATTATGCATCGAATATTGTCAAGTGAAACGTCAATAATAATAATAACAAAAATGTTCGTTGGAACAACGGAAAACGAAATAAACATTTTTCAGAGCTGAAAAATAATACATATAGGTT